TTTAATGAGATATATCACCATCTAGAATAATCATCAAAAAACATGATGAAATATTCACTTATGAGGGATATTTCCACATTAGAAAATCTTGCTTTATCATTGCACATGTGTGATGAAGCACCTAAGTCTAGACACCATTTAAAGGGTTTTCTTTCCCTTCATTTGCCATAATATTAGTATTATATGACTCCTGTTTTTCTGTTGTTAGGCTTGTAGTTATAACTCTATGTTGTTTACGCTTGTTTCTGTGCCAGCATTCTATAGCCTTATGGCCTATTTTTCCACAGTTAAATAAACAAACCATACACACCGGAAGAATACGATAATAAACTTTCTACAAACCTATAACCAGCGTGAAATATGTTCAATTGCTTACGCAAACGTTTTCGGATCCCACTAGATCCTTCATCAGGCTATGTTCCATTTTCAACGATCCGTTAGAATGTCAGCTGTCTTTGGAACGAAATTTCAAAAATCGTATTTTGCATTCCATTCGGAATCACGTGCCTTCCAACTCGAAACTCAGCTGCAACTCGTTACGTAGCAGCTGAGTTTCGAGTTGAATATTTTTGGATTACAGAGACTAAAAATCGTCATATTAACTAATACACAGCAAACCATTTATATATAATTTAATCTAAGACTATATATACACTTGCTGTGAGATTTGTCTACCAAGAATATTTTTGGATTACAGAGACTAAAAATCGTCATATTAACTAATACACAGCAAACCATTTATATATAATTTAATCTAAGACTATATGTACACTTCTTCACTCATTGATAACTTGCCGTGCGACTGAACAACAGTTCCCCCACCACTTCGAGCTGTCTTATGCAGGGTGTTGCTAGTTCATACGTAGTTTGCATTCACTCTTGCTCTAGTTTAGTATTTTCCAACAAATCTCAAGTTACACTAGAATGCAAAACAATTTTATATAATGAAATACATTACTAAATAAAATACTGCTGGAAATCAGAAGGTATGTTTCATTATATAATTCTTCAGTTTATTTGTAGAACATCAAAATTCTAAATAGAATGGAATAAAAACATAGAATTTAATTTTTTGAATGTGAAATACTTAAGAGATGAAATGTCTAATCTCTTTAGCCAGTGTGTCATCTTTATTTTATAACAATACCTATATGCACACAACACTGAACTCAGAGCATTAATGCAGCATTTTTGGTGAGAGGTTCTTAGTTGTCTTAATTTAAACAGATATCATTTTAATCAAATGAAAACATTAAATGTATAATCATTTCATGATTAAATTCTGAAAGACCAGAATTTTATGCTGACAAAATAGATAAATATAATATACACATTGACAAGCATTTTAATATTTTTGATGACTGTGTTGAAAAACTGTATTTGTGAAGTTGCAATATCTTTTAATATACATAATCATCTATATATTTGATTATGTGTGTCAAACATATTACAAGTGAAATATAGATCCTGAAACTTTTCTGAACCACCTTCATATTTATAGATTCATTATATACATATATGAGCCATTCATTTTGAAAGTGAGGCAAGTCCATTTTACATTATTGCTAGATATTTATAATGGGTTTAAAAATATTCATAAGCAGTAAAGGACTTATTTTATATTTTTCATAGTTTATTTCATGTAAATTTAATATGCAATTATGATTATCCATGTTAGGTGAAAAAAATCATAGTTTTGGTGTGTGCCAATGGACTTGTCTCACTTTCAAAAGCAATGATTTGTTGAAAACTTTGCCTTTGAATAGAATATACCATATTTACTCGCATATAAGACGAGGTTTTTATTCATTTTTGATTGCTTCAAAAACCTAGGTTGTCCTATATGCGTGAGCGAAGGATACTTTGCATTTTTGCAATAATTCTTATGAACCATGTGTTTGCATTTTTATACTGGATGCTCATCCTCTGGTGTTTAAAAACAAAAGTATTTTATCTGGGTCATTTCAATTGTTCTTGTGTATTGTCAGGAGTAAAGATGAATAGCAATAGGAAAGCAAAGCTTTTGAATTGAATTCCAATTTGAAATTCCAAAATCACATGGGAGCCTGATATAAGTTTTAATCCATTCCCATGTGAAAACAGATTATTATTCAGAAATCAGAATTCGGAGAAACTCATAAGTGGATGGAGAGTGGATTCAACTGTTAAGAATTGGCAAAAAAGGTTCCCAATTGTCCAACTTTACATGAACAAATTATGTCAATTTTACAAGATTTTTTCCTTAAAGTTTAAAATGCCAGTAATTCTTGCAAGGCAATGTGTGCATTTAAGTGCATTTGACATTTTATTTGTGATTAAATGAAATAAAATTAAATTGTATTAATAAATCTAATTTTCTTTATTTTGATCTTTAAAGTCACACCTCGTCCTATATGCAAGATCGTCTTATAAGCAAGTAAATGCAGTAATTGTAATAACAAAAAATTGATTATTTTATTTATTTATTTTATTTCACCATTTCATACTTCTTTTGAAAAGCTACAATAAAACAAGAAATAAATTTAATTTTAGGAAAAAGATGGATAACAAAGAAACAATATTCAGTAATAAGTTGCAAGCATATAATTATATTTCATAGTTTAGTTGGTGGAGATTTTTAAAGTATTCATGATGAATGGGGTGGTACATAGGGTAATAAATCCATTATATTTTTATATTTTTCTTTAGTAATAGGCCTAGTTTTTGCATTTAAAGAATATAATACTATTTTCCGAAACTACTTGGCCTACCCTGTTTTGGTGATAAATGAAGAGTTTGAAATTGCGAATCTTTTTCCATCAATGTTTTATAAAACAATTTATATGATGCATTTCTTGAAAATCTTATCCAGAAAATATTCAACCAATTGATAGTTTATCCATCAGTATTTTTTGTTCTTTTCAAAATTGCCTCCTCCAAAGGTTTGGTTGAATAGAAGTCTTCACTTTTCATTTCATGTACTAAAAATGCATTATGTTTGCAAAATTTTTGTATTAATTTGTAATAATCCTGGGCAACAGCCACTCTCCTGTGCTGTTGTTATTTAGAGTGGACTTCCCTCACTTTCAAAATAAACTCAATAAATATCGTTGACAATATAAATTACTAGTAACAAATTTTTACTGATATTAAAAGATATTTATTGTGAATTGATTAAAAACATAAAATTTATGTTAATTTGTAATAAGAATTAGCTTTAACTATTTTTTTTTTTCACAAAATGGACTTGCCCCACTTTCAAAATTAACGGCTCATATATGGATATAATTAAAAATTTTAAATTAAAATTAACATCATTAGTCTTATCTCTAACAGATTCTTTTTATAAATCAGTCCATTTATGGTAATATTGTTGATTTTAGGTGGATTTTTTTTAAACTGAAATAAAAATATTGAATTAGATTGCATGGTTTATTTATTCTAATAAGAATTCATTAGATTTATTCCAATAGATTTGATTTATTTGGTTGATTGATTTGGTAGATAGAAATATAGATTTTTAATTGTAATTTAACTAAGTAGTTTTTATTGCATCAATTGATCTATTGGTTTTACGTGGAAACTTTTTTAATATGAAGTTTAAGTGATTGTTGTTTTCACTTTTACATTTATATATAACTAGACATTACATATTAAAAAGCAATTACACACTATCAATCATCTGTAGGCATATAGTTGTCTGAGTATATATAATTTTATAACTAACTCAGATAACTGGATCACTAGTATAAACATGCTAGTAATCATCTGATTTTTAGAATTCTATGATAGAACCAGATATCTAGGAGTTTATACATTTCTCTAATTCCTTTGTGATTGTCCACATCTCACAACCATATGGAAATACTGACCAAACAAAGCATTTTAATAGTTTAGTCTTAGGTGTAATATTTAAATCTTACATTAGAAATTCTTTAAAATTTTGGAAAGCCTACGTGGCCATTGCTTTCCTTGCAATACATTATTTTTCAATCTGTGATTAAATAACAACCCAAATATTTTAAGATCTCTATCATATTTACATTTTTACCATTTATATTAAATATTTCTCTATTGCATTTATTCTTTACAATCATTATTTTAGTCTTATTCCAGTTGTTTTTAAGTTGATGAGATTGTCCTACTGCACTAAGTTTGGATGAAGCTTTTACTTTTTTTCTAGTAGTAATAAGTGTCATCAGCATAACAGATATAAAATTTTTGCCTCCTAGTGAAATTCCTTGGATATCCTCCAAAGCTTCCTGAAAATCTTTTCACTATAAATGTTAAATAATGATGGAGATTTTAACAACCCTGCCTAAGTTTATTACATCTAACAAAAAGCTTTTGTCTTCTGCTGAGAGGTTTCAATATCTCTGCGACTATACCATTGATTCCTACTGCTTTTCCAAAGCTGTCAAAAATGAGGATATGGAAAAAGCAAATGACTTTTTACATTAGTTTTTATTTTAAATTAAAAAAAAATTTTTATGTTTAAACAGATGAGCTAATTCTCCAAGTAAGTTTTTAGTTTTAAAGCATTGTTTTATTAATGGTTATAGCGTTATTGGTTTGGTTTAGAGCAACAATTAAAGATATTTGTTCAATGCAAGAATTTATGGGATCTTTAAAATATTTTTCTTACTTGGTTTGCTAGTGAATCTTCAACATTTTATCAATATTTATAATTACATTTTTACTATTACCAAGAATTGAAATTGTGCTTTATTGCTATTTATAAGATGCAGCCATCTTTCATTAAAGATGTGTACTCATTAACTTTGAAATAACAATCAAACATACACATTCTTTATCAATGACAATTTGGTAAATAGTTGACACTATTAACAAACATTGCTTTTAGGAACTTGAAGATTATTAATATTTTATGTTTTAGTCTCTTAAATAAATTAATATATAATTATTTTTATTTTAAGATTTAATAATAGGAACTAAATGAATTTTGATTATTAAAAATTTTACTTTTAGAAATATTAATTTTTATAAAATTATTTTAATAGTTACTGCTGGCGCAGCCAGTCAGCAACCACAACCACAACCTCCGCCAGGTTCAGATTCCTCTTTAAATTTGGATGCAACTTTGTGTCTTGACAATGATCAGTGGCTTACAGTTGATATTTCTACATTAGAACAGGATGTAAATTCACTATACTACTCTGTTTTTGGATCAAATAATAATGAGACAAATATTTCTGATGGAGATACATGCAATGCCAATATTTTGATAACAAATGAAACTGTCACTCAGCGTTGTTTGACACCACTTCCCATGAAAGGAAAAAAATTAAATAAGTCAGAAATACCACAGACAATGGAGTCTGACTTATGGGGTTTGGAAACTGAAGAACCTATACTTCAAGGAAAATGTCCTGATGGAAATCTTGATTTATACTATGAAACAAGGAGCCCACTTTCTCTTTGGGGTGCTCCAATGGATTTAGACTTTTTAAAAATGGATGATGTCTTTCAGGTTGATAAAGCAGATCTTGTACAAGGTCCTACTTTAGCAGAGCTTAATGCTAATGATGAATCCTTATTTAACTCTTTGGACTACTATGATTCTCTCCTAACAGATAATAAAAAGATTTCAACACAACTTCCAATGACTCTCAATAACAACCCTGTCACAGTTAACAATGCCAAAGCAAATATTGCAACACTTCCCATAAATCAAATTGTTAATCCTTCTATGAATTCAACATCGCAACCCATTAATATCAATAAAAAGAATGAAAAAACCAACAATATAACTCCAGTTTCAAACATTCCTACAACTTCACATTCAATACTCTGTGCCTCCCTTTTACAAAACAATATTACATCATCACAAAAAGCACACACAGTCTCTTCAGTAAAAGCATTGGATATTGAAAATGGAAATATTCAAGCCATATCTTCAAATTCCTCATCTGAAACATCATCAAATATTGTTCAGTTGTCTTCTTCTGCACCAGCAAATACTGATTATCTTAAAAAATGGCAAGAAGTACCTTCTTTACAGAAACAGCCACCTACAACTCCAGTTATTCAAAGAACAAGAAGAGATACCGATCGTTCAGTTTGCAGCTTTTCATCAGTATCATCATTATCCAATGAAGATGATTTTAATAGTGATGGAGATGATGACCAAGATGATATTGTTTCATCTGATAATGGTAAGTTTTTTATTAGGTTTTTAATAATGATTAAACAATATCTTTACCAAATTATCATTTTATTTGTGATTATATTTTTATTTTGTTGCCAACAAAATTATTTAATGTTCTGTATTTTGCAATAAAAGATAAAAGTTCATATCAAATATAAATAAAATTTCCAAAGTAATTCAGTTAAATGAACTGAATTTCCAACAAAAATAACCACTTAATAAAACCAATAACCGATATTAAATAATCGTAAACTGAACTGCGAACGTTTTTGGTTCCTTCCCTAGGACCTTTCTCAAGCAGCAATTCGTTGAATTTTGACTTTTGAAATGTTGTTCGGAAGAATAATTTTTCGAATAACGCTATTTACTAGTCTTCGTTCATAGTTATTCTAAAGATGAATCGCTGCTTGAGAAAGGTCCTAGGGAAGGAATCGAAAACGTTCGCAGTTCAGTTTACGATTATTTAATACCGGTTATTGGTTTTATTAAGTGGTTATTTTTATATTAATCCGGTATTTGAGGATTCTTTATGAATTTCCAACTTTTTCAAAATTCAATATTTGGCATTTCTCTGTCATTCTGTGATGAGGATGATAGCAGTATTAAAAAAGTATAAGTTTTTATATTGGGTAATCAAACTAAAAGCTTATTTGTAAGAAGTAGATTTGGCACTACTGTGAACTACCCATGCATGTTATTTCTCTGTTTATGAGGATTACTTCAAGATATAAATGTTTCTTATAAGATTATCAGCACAAAACCTTTCTCACTAATTTCTAGCCTTATTAACTGGAGTACAAACGTTTTCGGCCTTCTTAATAGGCCTTCCTCGGGTACACTGTGGAGCGTCGGTTAGAAGAAGTTTACTTCTTCTTCGACAACCCCTTGAAATAAATAGACCATCCCACCCTCACCGCGTGCAACCGTTAGCGCTTTTTTACTTCTCGCGTTTATTTCCAATTCTACCTTCTAATCGTAACCCCCTTCCCATCCACGGTCGTTCGCACGCCTCTTCTTACTGTAGCATTGAATATTTACGGCCTCAACTATGATGTCACTCCCCACTAACCCCCTGTTGTGATTGTGCATCTCCTGTACGTAGCGCGCTTACTCTAAAATCTTTTTCCCCAACTTTAGCAAGTATCCTATCTGCACACCGCCCTTCTTTACCAAAAGTATTTTCTATTTTTCGCCCTCGGTATCGTATATCTATCATCGACGATGACGTCACTGGTAAGACGATACCTAGGTAAACATTGGCAGCATTTAAACTTCTTCTAACCGACGCTCCACAGTGTACCCGAGGAAGGCCTATTAAGAAGGCCGAAAACGTTTGTACTCCAGTTAATAAGGCTAGAAATTAGTGAGAAAGGTTTTGTGCTGATAATCTTAGAAATAGTTCTAGCTACATATGCATAGTAGTTTCTTATAAGCAAGACAGTAATAAGAACAGTCAGCTCACAGCATTGCCAACTCTATTCTTTGAAAGTAAATTTTTTATCTGATCTCTCTGTATATGTATGTATTGAAATATGAATGAATCTCAAATATGATAAGGCAAAAAAAAATATCTATCACTGAAAAAATATATGTAATTTCTATAATTTATTAAATACATGAAGTAAAGTATTTTTTAAAATTTAGATATATTTTTATATTGTTCATTCTTAGGAAGGGGAGTAATATAGAAATGAAATATTTTAAAGTTAAATTCAGTTTTGTATATTAAATATATTAATTTAATTTTTTTTAATTTATATATTTAAACAGTAGAATTAAGATTATAAATCATTCTTCTCAATCTTGTATCTGGATTAAATTCAGTTAAAACATTGATATCATTTTTCAGTCTAAATACTGCCCAGTTAACATTTTCAAATAACAGATGAGTAAAGTTACTAATCACACTACACCTTATACACTTTTCCAGCACTAGTTTAATCAAAACAAATGTTTTCAACCCCATTCAGAGGTCTCCCTCAAGTTAAAAATGAAAAGTGTGTGTAAGGTATAGTGTGATTAGTATATTTGTTTACAGGTTTTCTACAAGTGCTTTTAGATGAGTAAAAATTCTTCACCCTCAATATAGTGTTGACATTTTATAGAAGTCTTCAAATAAATAGATTCTTTCCAATTAATTTTAAGTTTGTTCAACTTAAGTTGAAAAACAAATTTTTTAAACAAAAATTTAGTACTACTGCAAATAAGTATAGATACATATTTCTCTACAAGACTATCACCACACCAAGATAAAACTTCCTCTCCAATTTTCTTGTTGGACTGCAATTTGAAAAAATTGTAGACCTATAAATTCCCACTGTCATTTGTCTGTCTTTCCTTAACCTCAAGAACAGCATTAGATAGATGAAAGACAAGACCAGATATGGAAAGTTTAGGAGTAAGAGGCCCCGATTACCTATATATGAACTTCCAGTGCAAACTGGAAGTCATGTTATTTCAATTCAAAAATTTTTCCCTGAAATGTGTTAGATAGATGACTCTGATGTTAAAAGAAAAGTATGATATACAGGGGCAAGCCACTACTGATTTGAAGTGGAGAGACTATATTTTCAATTAAATAAATTAAAAATTGCAGCCCAGCATTGTGAAATTGTTCATCCAGTAATTGTAAAATTTCATCTTCTAATAATAACAAAGCAATTTGAATGAAATCTTGAAAAATATAAGGTGATATCTAGACATAAACTACAGCCTCCCAGGAAAAACTGCACCAAAATTGCAATTCTCTTGTCATGTTCAGTCAAGGAAGGCAAGTTAAGCTATATTGATGCACTTGTAGAATGATGGCATATCTCCGTGATGTTGAAACAGGCTGCCAACTTGCATGCAAGTTTTAGTGGTACCAACACACAGGTGAAACACTATCACAAAGTGGCAATTTTAAAGGATATTTTCTGCAAATTTTTTGACCAACCTTCAAAACCCAGGACATTAAGCAGGAAGTGGGACATCCATAAATATTTAATTACATCACATTATCATATGAAATTTGAATTATGATATTTTGATATCATAGTTCTGTGGTACTAAACCAAAATTTCCTTGCACATTTTATTTTACATTTTTTTACTTCCCTGGCTCTGCCATGATTGTTATATATAACAGAGGGAAACTCTGTTATATATAACAATCAGTTAAAAAATGACCCCAAGGTTTTTACATTTTTGAACTCTGGACCTTGAAATGTTGAGAAATGCAAAAACATTTAGAGGTTTTTTGTGTGTATGGATGTTAGTGTGTGTGGGGGCATGAATTTGTTCACCCTCTTTGAAGCTTAATAACTGCTGCACTTATTGTTAAAATCTGAAGTTTTGCAGGAAGGTTTGTATATTAGGGGGATTGATGCTAATTAAATTTTGATGGTTAAAGGTCAAGGGATGGGGAGATAAAGGGGGTTTGAATGTCATATTTTGAGTAGGGGCAGACTTAATGACAATTTTACTCCTTATTAGCATTTACAATTTTTTTTATAAAAACCATCCCTCCCCTCAAAATTAAGCTTTTGGCCAATTGATGATAATTAAAAATATAAAGATTTTTAATAACATATCATAGCAGATGATGCCACCAAATGTTACTGGGAATTTTTAAGACAAATCAGACTAAGTGTTTGCTTGATTCTTCTTTTCCTCAAAAAAGTTTATGCAATTATACATTTAGGAAAACCTGGCCTAAATGAATGAATTCAAAAGCTGGTTAACTACTGATTGTGAGAAATATTAAAAAAAGTGCATCTTTTCATTTACCTTTTCCCTCCCTCTGGTGATGGCGTTGGCCAACGAAGCAGTTTCCAAAGATGGCGACCCTAGATGACATGGGATAATTCTTTGAGAAAAAGGGAACTAACTATAATTCCTTTGAGGGTAGTGTTGCAAATTAACTTTGTATTCTTATTTCAGATAAAGTTATTTTGTAGTACACAATAAAAGCATGCATATCCACATATAAATGGAGAATTTCCAGGTTTCTTTCAAAAGATGACTCTGAATTTTCCAATCATTTTCCATTCTTAAGCTTGATGTTTATTAATTAATGAATGGACCATGCTCATAATGTAAATTTAATTTTTCTAAACTAAAATAAACTTTAGAAAATATTCAAAAGAACTGGAATTGAGAGAAATTTTGATATCATTCCATCACTAATTGGATTCAGAATATTTTTTAAAACAGGCATTTATTGTAGGAGGTTGAATAAGCCTTAAAGAAAAGAATTTTTTTTTTACCATGGATTGAATCATGAAAGCAATCTGAGAATTATATTTATAATGTTCTCTCTCTTTGATATGCGTAAATCTTGCTCAAACATCTTTTGGTGGATGGAATACTTTGAAGTCTAATTTCAAATAACTTTTAAAGAAATAAGTGTTTTTTATTTGTATATTTGGAATAATTCTTTGTACCACTTAATAATTGTTTCTGTCTATTTATCATGCTGTTAAAATATTCATAGTTTGTGTGTTAAATTAAAGAGACATATAATTATTGCATTAACTACTGTATATAAATTTCTAGTTTTTATAGTTGTCAGTCTGTTGTATTTCATTAAAAAATATTCTGAGATCCAGTGCTATGGCTAGTTAATACAAATTTGAGCATAATCTAATGAATTCAATTTTTTCAAGTATTATTATCCTGTAAATTATTCTCATAAGTAACCAATTGAAATATTGAAATTGATATAGTAGTTTTGACCACTTTTCTAAATAATTTTTTACTGTTGAATAAAAAGTAAAATTTTTATTTTTTAATTTATTCATTTATTTGTGAAGAGTTCACATTTTTATAGAATTTNCCAAGAATATTTTTGGATTACAGAGACTAAAAATCGTCATATTAACTAATACACAGCAAACCATTTATATATAATTTAATCTAAGACTATATATACACTTGCTGTGAGATTTGTCTACCAAGAATATTTTTGGATTACAGAGACTAAAAATCGTCATATTAACTAATACACAGCAAACCATTTATATATAAT